GGGTACCTGGGGGGGGAAAACACACCTGGGGGGTACCTGGGGACACCTGGGGGGTAGCTGGGGACACCGTGAGTACACCTGGGGATATCTGGGGGGGTGAAAACACACCTGGGGACACCTGGGGGGTGTTTGGGCACACCTGGACACACCTGGGGACACCTGGGCTCACCTGTCCCACAGGAAGTTGGAGGGGCCGCGGGTGCCGCGGGACGAGCGACGGCGAGCGCAGCACAATGAAGGTGAGGAGACACCTGGGGACACCTGGGGACACCTGGAACACACCTGGGGACACCTGGAACACACCTGGGGACACCTGGAACACACCTGGGGACACCTGGGGGGGATAAAAACACACCTGGGGACACCTGGAACACACCTGGGGGGGATAAAACCACACCTGGAACACACCTGGGGACACCTGGAACACACCTGGGGACACCTGGGGGGGATAAAAGCACACCTGGGGACACCTGGGGCACACCTGGGTGAGCTCAGGGCCACCTGTGTTCCCCAAATACCCCCAAAAATTATCAAAAAACTCCCCCCAAAATCCAAAAAAATCCCAAAAAAATTCCCAAAAAAATCCCAAAAAATCCCAAAAAATTCCCAAAAAATCCCCAAAAAATCCTCCAGAATTCCCGAAGAATCCCCCAAAATTTGTAAAAAATTTCCCCCCAAAAAACCCCAAAATTCCCAAAAAAAAAACCCCAAAAATTCACAAAAAAGCCCCAAAAATTCACAAAAAAACCCCAAAAAATCCCCAAAAAATCCCCAAAAAATCCTCCAGAATTCCCGAAGAATTCCCCAAAAATTTGTAAAAAATTTCCCCCCAAAAAACCCCAAAATTCCCAAAAAAACCCCCAAAATTCACAAAAAAACCCCAAAAATTCACAAAAAAAACCCCAAAAATTCACCAAAAAAACCCCAAAAAATTCCCAAAAAATCCTCCAGAATTCCCAAAGAATCCCCCAAAATTTGTAAAAAATTTCCTCTCAAAATAACCCCAAAATTCCCAAAAAAACCCCCAAAATTCACAAAAAAACCCCAAAAAATTCACAAAAAAACCCCAAAATTCCCAACAAAATCTCCCAAAAAATCCCAAAAAATTCCCCAAAAAATTCCAAAAAATCCCCCAAAAAATCTCCAGAATTCCCAAAGAATCCCCCAAAACTTGTAAAAAATTTCTCCCCAAAATCCCCCCAAAAAACCCCAAAATTCCCAACAAAATCTCCCAAAAAATCCCAAAAAATTCCCCAAAAAATTCCAAAAAATCCCCCAAAAAATCTCCAGAATTCCCAAAGAATCCCCCCAAACTTGTAAAAAATTTCTCCCCAAAATCCCCCCAAAAAACCCCAGAATTCCCAAAAAAAACCCACAAAAATTCACAAAAAAACCCCCAAAAATTCACAAAAAAACCCCCAAAAATTCACAAAAAAACCCCCAAAAATTCACAAAAAAACCCCCAAAAATTCACAAAAAAACCCCAAAATTCCCAACAAAATCTCCCAAAAAATCCCAAAAAATTCCCCAAAAAATTCCAAAAAATCCCCCAAAAAATCTCCAGAATTCCCAAAGAATCCCCCAAAACTTATAAAAAATTTCCTCTCAAAATAGCCCCAAAATTCCCAAAAAAAACCCCAAAAATTCACAAAAAAAAACCCAAAAATTCACAAAAAAACCCCCAAAAATTCACAAAAAAACCC